TGATGTGTGCGTGTCGACATGGTGGTCGTTATGGCATCAAAATATTCAGCCCATAATGTAGTGAGATCTAGCGTCTCAGCGGTGCGAGCCTGTTTACGGCGAAGGTTGACGGTGGTTTCGAGCTCATCATAGTTCTCCGAGAATCACCCGAAAGCCTCTTGCATTGCTCGTCTAGCCACCTCGTCATTAAGATGATGGAAAACATCAAAGATATCTCCTGCTAATTCACAGAATTGCTTTAGATTCCTCGGTTCCTGCAGCCTCTTCTCCTACCATCTGGCACGACTCATGGGTACCATTCCATTCCAGATCTTAGCTTTTATAGGATGCAGACGAGCGGGGAACCAGACGGTAGCGAACGACTTCTTCGCTGCGAATTCGCGGATCCGATGATCTAATAAACGATCCAGAGTTTGGACTTCATCACGGTGCCACAAGGGTAGTGAGGGTCTACCGTTTCCCGGCAAGGATCCTCCCAGCACGTAGAGCATGAAGTGTATCCCGGTAAGAAATGGTGTGGGGCGATCCACTGCGCTTAGGTTAGTGCTTCTACCACTTTGAACTGTGACAGAGGCCTTTGACATGATGGGCACTAGCGAAAGGGAGAAGGCATACTGAAACCCAGCTCATGCAACGCCTTCTTACTCCAAGTTCCCGGCTCACCGAACCGACCCTTCATCATTTCTTCAACTTTGCCGACATCGACGTCTTTGATAGCATCCCATTCTTTTGCTGGGATGTCTCGGCTATGTAACAGCGAGGAAGCTTTCGAGGTAGATGTTGCCTGTTTAGGCTTGCGGTAGGTTAAGGCGGTAAATGTTGCTCGTTTGGGTTTGTTGTAGGCCAAGGCTTCCAGTCCACGATATTGGCGCACGATTTGGAAATGGGTATATCGTCGCGTGAGCTGGTGTATATTTTGACGGTAGACAACCATGTTAAAGCGCTGTGTACAGAAGGGCAGATGTCAGGCTTCTGGAGTGTATGGTCGTTGGGCATCGACGGATCTGCGCTAGTCTCTTTTAGCGAGCCCCTATCTCTGAAAGCATGCATCTATTTAGGAAATTGTCTTGATCAGCACAGCCGGGGGGTGCAAAACAGTCCGCAAATGCCATGCAAATATGGATGGACCGTTGTTATATCCCTGAATGGTATGATCCGGAGTCTGGAGAGATCGTGCTTCATGGGTTCAGATTTACTGTACAGGGGACCGGCCTGGCCTAGCCCTCAAAATATGTTCACTTGAACTACTAATTCGATATCAGCTGCTTTGAACGCGTCTTTGACTTCGTCTGGTTGCTGCCATTCAACGAGTTCGCCGCGGCGACCTGGTTGCTCGCCGTCTAGCAAGGCTACCCTCCTCAAGTTAGGCAGCGCTCTCTCCTTCTGCCTCGGAAATTGAAAGAGCCATGCGAATCGTTCCGGTGGAATCTTGTAATCTCCATTGCTCTTGAAACTGAAGTCCTGCTCTCCATCCCAGTAGAAAACTCCGATCTGAGATGGGAATTCGATCTGGACATACGTTAATCTTACTAAGTTTGAAGATAGGACAGCGGGGTTTGCACCTGTAGTGACTGGAGATGCTTTGGCATATATTGGTAAATATCTTCTCGATCTGGCTGGGGAACTTTGAAGGCTTCACACAAGAAGAACGCGTTGATCGTAAGATGTCGTAACGCCTCGAACTCAGACAGATCCAGTGGGAAAAAGCCAGTTACGTGAGAGATAAAGAGAGTGAACAGACTAAGCTGTAGCACCCTCACCGTGTTTCGGATAGGTCGTAAAGCGACCAATGCTCCCTCGCTAGAAAAGTCGAATTCCGGTGGCGGAAATCCTGCCAAGGTACAGTTGAACATGAGGTTATACCGGAATTCTTCGAGCAATGGAGCACGAGATAAAATATGACAAAGAGATGCAGTCTTCAGTCCGTAACCTTCTTCCGGTCTGAACAGACGAGAATCTGAGCGCAAAATCCGGAGACTGCGCAAACTGCCGGTCCGGTCCGGTACGGGGTGTCGGTTTTTGGAAGCAGTATAATCATTGACTGAGTCGACCGTCAAGTCGCGTAGACTTTGTAGTAACATACATGACGCAATCGTGCCGATGGATGGACCATTATGTAGCGTGAGTGATGTGATTTGTTGAAGAATTGGCAAAGACAAAACCGCGTCGCCATCCAATTTCGTCCGGTGCGCAGAACCATCAGCTGAATAATCATCAGGGTCACCACTGATGCTGCGGAGCAAGAGGGTTTTCAGATTTCGGAAACCTGCGAGATATCTCAGGTCATCGTAATCCCCATCCTCAAGTGAGATAGGCCCACAACTCCAAACACACTTTCTTAATTGCGGGGTTTCTTTAAAGGTGCGTTGCAAGAGGCGGTGGTGCCTCCACAGTGGAGGTTCATTGAGTGTGTTGATAGACTGGGCATTGGTATCAGGGACGAAATCGACATGCCGGAAGAGGAACTCCTGGGCGAGTCGGCGGAAACGCTGCGAGACGAGGGCAAGTCTCGACAAGGACAACCGATCGTGCTCGAAGTTTGACGTTATTTCTCCAAGAAGTTCGTCGGGAAGATGGTGGATGTGGTCCATGATGAAGAATCGTGTAGTGGCGAGTGTTGGGATGGATGATGGATGCCCCGCACGGCGTGTAGGCAACAGCAGTCGGTCACAGGATGACTAATAGCTGACAAGCTAGCGCACGAAACACGGAGATCCGCCGTCTTAGCACCGACACCGACTTCGTCTTCCCCTCTCACCGCCAACCGAAAGCCGCCTGTTTCGTTTTGTCTCTGGGTCTGATGCCACCATCACTGCAAGCAAGCATACGAGAGAGCTCATCGCAATCACTTCCGAGCTGCCATTGTGGAGGGCAAACATGAACGCCATACCGAGTACGATGTCATCTTGCTAACGGAGTATACTCCAATGGCCACGCGACTGGAATGGCTGAGAGAGATTACTCAACTGGAGGCTGGCATCAAGAAGACACTCGTTTCGCAGTCTCGTGGGGGCAACAACGAGGACAACGGGCGCACCAGGGAGTAGTTATCTCGGATCGATTGAAATAGGTCCCATACGTGACGCTACATCCTACATTGCAGTACCATGCACACGTTTTCATTTTGGCTTGGATAGTATTGCATGCTAACTAGTAAACATAATTGTACCGACATGTGGTGAAAAGCTACCTCTTCAGAGGCACGGCGCAACCAAGAATCGCCGCAACATGTCACCCGTATTGGGTCTCCGCTCAATCGAGCGTAAAATCAACGCTGTCCAGTGCAGTTTCTGGAATACCAAACACCGTAGTCTCCCTGCAATACAGCGACATCGTCCTACGCTGAAAATAAACCAGGCTCGCAATGAGCTCGCAAAACCCTTTGATCGTGTACCGTCAGGGCATACAAATCCAAGAAGATCCGGTCGTGGACGGCATACTTCGACACTTAATCGCTGTCGTCATGCTCGTGATCTTCGAAGAAGTCATCGTCGCTGTCATAGGCCTCCTCGTCTTCCATGTCGTAGTCTTCCTCGTCGCCGAAATCGTATCCATGGTAGCCGAGGTCTTTACGATGACTTGCGCAGTCCCGTGTGCCCATTTTCTGGCTCTTGTTCCTCGCCGGCGTCTTCGCCATCTCCTTCATCTTCATGGTCTCCGCCATCTTCTTCCATCTCACTGGCTTCAGTTTCATCATCGGAGGCGTCCGTCTCATCCTCAAAGGGTTCCACCTCATTCGACGATTCCTCATCCACCTGGCCGTGATTGTCTCGTGTGGCCCGACTCGCTTGGACGTGCTGATCACCTTGGACGCGCTGATTGACCTGGGCACCCTGACCGGCTTGAGCACCTTGATTGTTCTGGAGCGGCCCAGCGAGCGCAATTGCGCGCTGGATGGCTTGCTCGGCACGAAGTTCTGGACTCCGGTCATCCCCGAAGTTCAAGTCAAGGTCTCTTCGAGCCGCTTCGTCGATGTCGTGGTTGATATTGGGACGCTCGAACCGGAAGAACTCACCTCGGCATTCCGGACAGCGGCTGTTGTTCGGGGTGCCGGTTTCGCAACACTTGACGATACAATGCGCGCCGACCACATGGCCGCAAGGCAACGGCACCATCGAATGCTCCGGATGCTCGAAGGGTTCCTGGCAAATGGGACACTCGGAGGTAATGTACAGTGGTCCGAGATTAGCAATGAACTCGTCCTTGCTAGGAAGTTTCGCCATGCTCGATGCTGTGATGGGTAGTGGTTGCCGATGCGTCCGGACTGTGTCGATGGAGTTGCCAGCGGCTAGGGTAGTGTCGGACAGGCAGGGCAGTTGGTTAGCTGTAGGAGAGCTTTGTCTGTGCATATAAGCAAGGCCAGTGTACTCTGGCGGCAGCGCTGCGGCACCGTGCCCAGCTGATGTTTGTCCTACGCGTTCACTAACTAAACACTGCACGAGCGAGGCAGCCAAGACCGCCGCCGAGCGGAGGCATACAGTCATCACGAGGCGGTCGAAATGCCGGGGCCGCCACCGCTCCGACCTATTCTCTGTGGTGCAGTTTAGTTCTGGTGAAAGAGCCCAGGTGTTGGCAAGGCCTGTTTGCACAGCAGTATTAGCCGTAGAAGAAGAAGGACCTTTAGCGAAACTTTGTAAATGATACTAGTTGATGGCTCAGGCTATCGAGATCTAGCACTCCTCTATGGTATTAACTTAGTTAAATAATTGTACTATTTGCCACAACGTCGACACAAACGTTCCGTCCCACCTAGATTGTCCTGCAAGTAATCTACCATAGCGTGCTTTCTGAACTGTTTTCACCCATGCGAGATAATTCAAAAGCTACAATAATAAACCTCAACCCCATTGAAGCACACAAAAGAAACCCGACTAAGAGTGCCGTGTTCCGCTCGTCTTGCTCCAGAAACCCCCAGCACGCATCCCCTCCCCTCCAAAAAAAAAGCCCCAACCCAAAGCATGTACCCTCATCATGACCACCGACATGCCCAAAAAAATCTCTGCTCCCTGCCAGACTCGAACTGGCGACCTTCGGATGTCCCGCTACTTAGTAGCAGTCATGGTCTTGGTATGAGACCGACGTGATAACCAACTACACCAAGGAAGCTTTTTCAGATCGTGATAAAATTTTGGAAATGAGACGTATCTATAGGCTGTGGGGGCGAGTGAAAGTGAAAGTGAAAGTGAGAGGGGTAAAGCGGGGTAGGAATTTACAGATGTGTGGGGGGCGGGGCGGGTAAGCGATCGTTTGCAAATCGCACAATGATTTTGCGTAAGCTTTCACGATTACAACGGCGTCTACGGATACCGAACCCAGGTAACTCAGCCTCTACGCCCACAAAACTCTATAATGCAAGCCATGCTCTCCCCTCGATCACATCACCGCGCCGGTAATTCCTCTACTACGCAAAGCTCCCCTTCGCCGTGCGTTCCAAAGCGCGCATTATGCATCATCTAGATCAACCGTCCCAACCCTGAATTCACGAACAATACAATAGCCAGCGCTGCACAGCTCGGTCCGTACGCAGCCCACGCCCAGTGCACACCCAGCCCAGCCTATATGAGGTTTTCAAGGACATATCACGGTATAATAAGGTACAATATCTATTTGCCCAGGCACCTAAACACTTGACATGAAAGATACCCAGATTTTGTAGACGCCACGGTGCGGTGCGGCGCGCTGTCCTGCCCTGTTTTGTTCTGTCTAGACAGCTGCGGCGCTTGGTTCCTGGTAACAATATGCGCTGTCTCACGACGGCTCTTGAGCTTGCATAGATGACGACTTTACCGCTTGGTCTATTTACAGCAGGCTGCCCCGCTCCGTGTTCCTGATTGGCTGCTTGGCGATAGATCTCGATCTCGGGAATTAGACCTCACCACTTCGTCACTCTTAACATCAACAACAACAACAACAACAACACTTACATCTCCAGCAACAGTGCGAGCTTGCTTATTGTATCAGTCCTTGTGCCAAGTTCCCCTATTAGCTCCGAGCCGAAACGTCTTCCCGGAGAATAAAGAGATCAGGGCGCGGCCTGCTTTGAAGATATCATGCATTGCTGCAGGATGAGCAAGAGCTGTGTGAAGAGAACAGGGCGCTGCGCGGTTAGCGGGCTGTCTAGTCCTAGTCGTGGGGTCTGGGGCTGTAGACCATCTATGGTATCGACGATGGTGACGAGCCGGATGTTCTCCAAGGGAGCGTTAGGATCAGTAGCTACATCAATGTCGACATCGATGTCTCGAACAACCACCCCGACGTCCAAATCCACCGTACCGACATCTCCACGGACAAAACACCACAGTCCTCGCCCCCTCCCACGGACCAGCACATCGCCAACCACTCGCTTTTTCCACACCACCCCCACACCTAACGACGACCCCCAGAAAAAACCCACCTGGTCCGCAGACCAATACCTCAAGTTCCACGCCGAGCGCACCCGCCCCGTGCACGACCTCCTCGCACAAGCCACGCCGCTGCTCCCACCCTCCTCTTCCGCATCCCCCCTCCGCATCTTCGACCTGGGCTGCGGCCCAGGGAACTCGACCGCGGTGCTGCACTCCGCATTCCCCACCGCGCGCCTCACCGGCATCGACGCCTCGAGCGACATGCTGCAGAAAGCGCGCGGGGATGCGTCGCTGCAGCGCCCGAACATCGACTTCGTGGAAGCGGATCTCGCGACGTTTGACCCGCGCTCGGCGGATGGCGAAGACCGGCCGCCAGACCTACTATTCAGCAACGCAGCGTTCCACTGGCTGCGCAGCCCGCAGCGCCTCGCCACCATCACGCGCTTATTCCGCACACTGCGGCCCGGCACCAGCACCAGCACCAGCAGCGGCGGCGTCCTCGCGCTGCAAGTCCCCGACAACTTCACGCAACCCACGCACGCCCTCATGCGCCGCACCGCACTCCTGCCCCACAAGCCCTGGACCCAGCACTTCGCCTCCGCCCGCATCCACGACCGCTCCTGCGCCACGCGCCCAGACCTCGACCCCATCGAGCCGCCGCACGGCATCATCGCGGCGCTCGGCCCGCACGCGTCCAGCGTGCGCGTCTGGCACACGACGTACTACCACGAGCTGGCGGACGCGGCGGCGATTGTCGCGTGGGTGCGGGGCAGCGGGCTGATGCCGTATCTGGAGCGCTTGGAGGGGGATGAGCGGGCGAAGGAGGGGTTTTTGGCGGAGTATGAGGGGAGGGTGGGGGAGAGGTATGAGAGGGTGGGGGAGGGGAGGGGTGTGTTGTTGGCGTATCCGAGGTTGTTTGTCGTGGCGGTGAGGAAGTAAGTGAGGAAGCGAGGGAGGAAGTGGAGAAGTAAGGAAGGGGGGAAAAGGAGGAAAGTAGGGAAGTAGGAGATGCACGTATATAACAAACAGAGAGTACGTAGCTAGCTAGCCAGAGCCAGGGGATCACTGGCCGTCTTCCCAGAAAGCTACTCTGCAGTACTAACGCACACAGCTACAGCTACATGCGCATTCCAAAACGGTATTTCTAGCAAAGTCTAAACTCTAAGTTGAGATTGACTTAGCTTACCGTGCATGAGGAGCCGTTTATTATATATATATACTTAGTTAGTTAGTTGGATGTCTTGTGTAAGTACACTCAATGACTGTACATGGCACTCACTGGACACCGAATTACTGTTCTTGATCTCAGCATATCTACCTACCACATACCTGCTTACATACCTCCCTCTGTAATCAAAACGCGGACACAAACCCCGCCCCGCGTGTCCCAGCACAGTTCCGTTCTATTCCATCCGTTCCATCCGTTCCAATCCCCTCCAATCCGTTCCAAGCCTTTCAGTCAGTTAGTTAGTTCCCCGTACTCTATCCGTGTTAGAAAGCCTCCTCTCTCGCCCAACCCAACAAATACACTCACTCACTGACTCACTCACTCCCTCCCTCCCGGTCCTTAGTCTCATACACATGCACACTCTCCTCTCATCCATGCACCCAGCCCATGCGAGACTACCCTCGACTCTCGCCCCGCCACGGCACGCCACGTCACACACACCAAGTACACGCACATGTTCATCATATCCAGAAGAAGAACAGCCTCAGCCATCATTGCCACACCTCTCTCTCTCTGTGTGTGTCTCTGTCTCTCTCATATTACATAGCACAAGCCAGGCGAAGCCACATCAGGCCAAGTAAGCCCTTAGCCCACCCCAATCAATAAAAACAGCAAGCCTTCTCCATTCATCGTTCGGCTTTCCGCTGCCCATCCCCCAATTACACACACACCAATCCCCACACATTATCCACTTCATTCATCCCATCGCACTTGGGCCACTCTGGCTGGCTGGCTGGCTGGCTGGAAAACCAAAAAAGTAAAGGAGGAGGGGGCGCGAGTTATTTATCCCATCCCATCCCATCCCGTCCGTGGTATACCAAGGTTGCGTTGTCGCCGTCGGCACCGAAACGAAACGAGCATAGTCGCGCCGCGCTGGTCTGGTATGCACGCACCCAAGTCTTTTTCGTTGACCCGACCGACCGACCGACTGACTGACAGCAGCACCAACACATTTCCAACACACGCCATCATTCCAAATGCAGCAAACAGATCCCCCCCACACACACGCAGCCAGCCTCCACGCTAATTCATGACAAGTCGCACGTGCATCCAAGTCGCACGCGCATCCAAGCCGCAGCAGCAAACGCGCCCCACCACGCCCCTCATCAGAAAAAAACGCGCACAAAAAAGCACAAAAGCCAAACGCCAGATGTTGTGAAGAAACATGGCAAATGTGACTTTACCCAGACGGACCTCGAAAAACGCCGATTTCCAAATGCCGCAGATGAAAAAAAAAAGGGGGGGGGCGTCATTTGGTCCTTCCTTTATGGAGTGGAAAAAAAAAGAAGAACAAGGACAAAGTCGTAAAAAAGCCCAACCCAGCCCAATGCTGTGCGTCCGTACGTCATGCTCGGAAAAACAGACATGCAAAGCCGTCCAGGCGGAAGGGGTAGTGTTGTAAAGTGCTGCAGAAACATAGTTTTTTCGCCGCCGTATAGAAAGGTAGGTATCAACCACTGCGTCGTCCACTTGGATATCCGTTTTCGCGCCCATCCATGTGCTCTGAGAAAAACGTAAAGACTCGTTAGATCCCAACTTAACTCCGCTGTACTCCAATGCAGGTTTTTTAAGACGGTTTTGCCGAGCGGCGGATCGGTCATCCAGCGCCGGCGGCACCTAGCGGCGTTTGTTTGTGAAAGCGATAGCTGTGCCGGTGCGGTGAGCCGGTGCGGTTGCTTTCTGCAGAGCCGGGAGCGGGCTGGCTGTAGGGGAGATTCGGCGTGGCGAGATCGTAGCCTTGGGGAGGGGTGTTGTGGGTGCTCGATGGGGTGAAGTGGTGGCCGCCTCCACCGGGAACATGTCTGACTGAGGATTCGCCTGACCACGCCTGCGGATTGTTGTCGGCCTGAGTGATGAGCGGAGCGTTGCGTTGGTCTTTCCTTGCTGAAGACCCGTTTTGGTTCCTCGGCGAGGTCGATCGTCCAGGGGTCGTTGGGTTCTTCCCTCGCTCCTCCCAGACACGCATGATCTCTTTCGTGCTCAGCTCTTGTGAATTATCGCTGTTAAGAAGGTCCACTATCTCTTCCGGTACCTTCACATGTTAGCTAAAACAATGAATGTCATCACTGAACTTACTTCGCAGAACTCATCATTGTGCTCGATCAGATCAAAAACGATTTTTACAGCGCCCTGGTCTACGCTCTTCATCTCTTTCTCATTGCTTTCGCGTAGAATATTAGGAGCCATGACCGTTGCAATATTCCAGGTGTCCATCTTGTTTCCGCTTTCTTCATCAACCGTGTGGAAAGACGAAACCCAATTGAGGAAACAAAACAGCACTTCCATGGTATCGCGATGAGCTTTTGGGAGCAAACAGCAAACCAAGTGCAACACTTTCTTCCTCAACGCTTCATCCTCGATATCTGTAGAAGTTAGCACTCTCCTGTACGCCAGGGAAGCTAGACAGATACCCACCATGGGCTGTCATGAACAGTCTATATAGCTTCAAGGTCAAGACAGGATCGGGCATTAACCGGAGGAAGCGCTTGAGAAGATTGGCTAGGAGCACCGGGTTATTGTTGTTGAGATCGACC